ATCCTAGTGAATCAGGAATGCACCCGTGCAGAAGATGCTACCTGACCCCTGCTTCATTATAATAGCATTATAATAAATTAGCATTGTGGGACCCCCCTCACCCCTTCCCAGTGACCAACCAAGGAAATCGTGGGAGATCACATGTGCAGTAACTTTAAAGTAATATAACTACTTATGTGCAATAAAAACTCACCAAAACTAGCCAGGAGAGACCCGCCCTAAAAGAATAAAAGCCCTCTAGCCCCTGAGGTCAGGCCCTGTTAGGCTCTACTCAGTTCTGCTCTGCTCCACTCTGCTCTGCTCGGAGTTGGCCTTCTCCCATGTTCTGTGTGACTTAATAAATCTGCTTTTTCTCACTTTCTGCTATGAACTGTATGTGTTCGGTTCAATTTTCTGTCCATGATCACCAAGACCCTGGTTAACTGTGCCCTCCTGTGACACTGCTATGAAGGACCTGTGACTAGAAAGATTGAAAGAGGCCTGACTACAGACATTCTTGGAAGCTAGGTAGAGTTAGACTTGAGGTGGCAATCCAACCTCAGCCTCAGTTTTCTCATCTCTAAACAGGGTTCATTCCAGGCTTTTGAATGTTCTGTGATGGGACACAGGAGGGCATAAATGTTTGATGTGTGAGGAAGTGGAAGAAAGTCACCCAGCTGCCTGAATACAATCCACTTTGAGACTGGAAGAAGCTATCGGTCTTGAGGATCATTACTAGGGTGCAGGAGAAGATATTTCCCAGTCTTTTAATTCCAGGTTAAAAAATAGCTCCTCTGTCCTTTTCAACATTCCTTTCCAAAGCCAAGTGTGTCCGATCTCTGATGCTTTCAGAGATATCCATGAACTTGGGGTCACATGGAAAGCACAAACCGTGTGGCCCCATTGGTCCCAGGTTATCCCTTTAGGTTTGTATTTGAGGAGGTGACTGACTAGAGGACAAGACACTCCTTGCAAACTCTTGCCAGAATATGCAGAGATCTCTGGTGGTTCCAGAAAGTGCTGCAGAAGCTTGGTAGGAGCCAACTTTTCCCACTTTGAGCTGTGCCTGTGGGCAAATCTAGTCAAAATGAAGATTCAGGGAAGCTGTATTAGTCTGGACTTATGATTCAAGAAACAGACTGATTTAAGTAAAAATGAAATTTATTAAGAGAATATAGAGAAGTTCCTTATGTAATTGGGAGGATGAAAGAGCTAGCCTGGAGGCTGTATAGTGAGGAACAATACCAAAAATCATAGCATATAACAATTCTTATGAAGACACCCCAGGTGCCACCACCTCTAGGTACAGATATAGCTGCTTCCATAGCTAATGTCACCAGTGCTGGCCTCTGCTCTTACAGCTGCTGCTTCTTACAATTGAAAATTAGGTGGAGCTGCTGCTCAGCTGCTTCCCTGAATGGATTATTTGTACTCCCCACTTCATCTTTCCAGATTCCAGTGTGCCTGATTGGTGGAGCCTTGGTCATGTGGCTAAGCTCTAGCTGCAAAGGAAGCTGGAAGCAAATGCCTGACATTTTCACCTTCTGAAGTAGAAGATTCCCCACATATGGGAGGGTGATTCAGAAGTTAGCGGACCCAAGCCAACAAAAGCCTTGAAAATGGCACACTCTGAGGCCAGCAATCTTGGTGGCAAAAGGCACCATGATCATTTTATATGAGAAATTAAAGATGTTGTGACTTAAAGAAGATAAAATATAAGGGACTGGGGTCAAAAGGGCTCTTACACGGAGAAAAGTTTGACTTAGTATACCTCCAAAGCCTAGGACAAAGAGGATATGAATTTCCTCAATTTAAGGAAGATATTTATTTTTATTCCTAAAAAACAAACCATGTTTCCATTATAGGTAAAAAGAACATGTGGAGAATAACAATATAGAAAGATAAAAACTCATAGAACCACAACCCAAATGCAACTGCTGATAACATTTTAGTGTATTTCATTCCAGTTTTTTCTATGTTAATTTTTAAAAAAAGATTTTATTTATTTATTTTTAGACAGGGGAGAAGGAAGGGAGAGAGAGAGAGAAACATCAATGTGGGAGAAACATCGATCAATTGCCTCTTCTGGGTGTCCCATCTGGGGATTGAACCCACAACAACCCAGGCGTGTGCTCTGGCCGGGAATCCAACCCATGACCTTTCTCTTTGAGGGAAGATGCCCAAAAAACTGAGCTACATTTGTCAGGCCTATACTATTTTTTTGTTTTCCGAACAATACATATGCCTATATATGCCATATATATCATCAGATCCTGCCTTTTTTTTCCACTGAAAATCAGGTCATAGCATTTTTCACTTTTTAACCACATTTTTGTAGGCATCTTTTTTTTTAATCCTCACCCTAGGACATTTTTTTTCATTGTTTTTGAGATGGAGAGACATTGATGTGAGAAAAAATCATTTATTTGTTGCCTTCTCAGACCTGCCTCAACTGAGGAATGAACCTGCAACATAGTAAGTGCCCAGACTGGGAATTAAACCCACAAACTTTTGGTCTATGGGATGACACTCCGACCAACTGAGCCACACTGTTTAGGGTTCTAGGCATTATTTTTAATGGCTGTATAACATTCCATCAAGAGCATATAGCATAATTTATGAAATATTTCTCTGCTGTGGGACAATTAGGTTTTCTCCAGTTTTCGTTGTTGTTTTAAACAATATTGCAATGAGCAATGGAATAATGGAGTCTGAACATTAAATACATATTTATTAAATATATTATATTAAATGTCATATTTATCTTTTTAAATACAAAAGGTAAAAATGTAGTATCTTAACAGTACTCCCAGAATTTCTTTTAGGGAGAGAACTGTCTTCATTAGGGAAAATAAGCCTTAACAGAAAGTGAGATCTTTGGGGCATGAGTGTTGACAGGAAACCTAGCAATGAAGAAATATAGCTAAGATATCTCCTTCTGCCCGAAAAGCCAGAGGAATTTGTTTTTTCTCTGGACAGGGTGTGATAAAGGAGAGAATAACAGGGCAGGGAGGAAAGGTAGTGATTTGGGAAAAGGCCAGGCAGGCCTTAAGGGGTAAAGGGCCTGTTAGAGAAAACTTCAGCTGAGGAATTGATGGAGTTGACAAGACTTAGCTATACCTACTTAAAAGGAAGAAGGTATTTGTACTGTAGAGAAATGCAACAAATGTATGAATTCTTAGAGGGTTGCTGGTTTGATTCCCAGTCAGGGTACATGCCTGGCCTGGAGCTAGGTCCCCAGTAGAGGGAGCTTGAGAAGCAACCACACAGTGATGTTCCTTTCCCTTTCTACCTCCCCCTCTCTCTAAAAATAAATAAAATCTTAAAAAAAAGAGAGAGAGAGAGAGTGTCTTTTGCATGAGTTTAAACTGTAATGCATCATTTGACTCTGCCCCAGGGCCCAGAGCATCATAATGACTTCTATACCCATGAATGTTTTGCGTGGGAAGAGGTGTGGGCAGTCCTCAGGAAGGGTGGAGTTTCATCTCCACATTTCTGAACTGTGGGACTGCAATAGCCAGGCTGAAAAAGGTGAACTGGGTATAAAATCAGTATTTAACTAATAAATTTATCTGTACTCCAAAAGAAAGAAAGAAAGGAAGGAAGGAAGGAAGGAAGGAAGGAAGGAAGGAAGGAAGGAAGGAAGGAGCCCAGAAGCAGAAAGATTTAGGATAATATTAATCCTCAGAGATTTGCAGAAGTCATAGGGAAGGCTTTGACCTCCAAATCCATTCTTAGTTCAATCTCAAAGGTCAAGGAGATTTACATTTGAATTACAAAAGTACTGAATATTCATTTTATTTTTATTTTTAAAAATATTTTATTTATTTTTAGAGAGAGGAGAGGGGAGGGAGAAAGGGAGAGAAACACCGATGTGAAAGAAAAACATTGATTGATCACCCCCCCACTCCTCTTAACCAACTGAGCCACACCAGCCAGTGCCATATTGACTTAAAAAAGTAGAAAATAGCCCTGGCTGGTGTGGCTCAGTGGATTGAGCGCCGACATGTAAACTGAAAGGCCGCCAATTGGATTCCCAGTCAGGGCACATGCTTGGGTTGTGGGCCAGGTCTCCAGATGGAGGCAGGTGAGAGGTAATCATTTGATGTATTTCTCACATATTGATGTTTTTCTCCCTCTCTTTCTCTCTCTCCCTCTCTCTAAAAATAAATAAATAAAATCTTTTTTTAAAAAACCTAGAAAATAAAAAGAGAAGCAGAAGGGGAAAAAAAATCACTCAATAGTTCTACCACCTAAATATCTCAGGGTGTGGCCTGAGAAGTGTATGCCAGAGGGGAGGGGTAATCTTTAAATATAATGGAGAAGAGGAAGTTACCCATTGATCATATATCCCTGAGTCAAGATGTCAAGCCCAGCTTCTTCCACCAGACAACCTCCCAGCTGCTAGGTAATTTTTTAAATAGTATATATGAAAAGACAGGTTGGGGTAACAGGTCCCTTCCAGGTCCTAAAGACCTGGGTTAAGAAGCAAGAATGGAATATTCTACAACAGTAGGGAGGATGCTCCCCATTTATGTGGGCAAGCATATTAGATAAGTACATGGGAAGATAGGTAAGAAGCCCAGAACCATAAATTTCTAGTTCCAGAAGCCTCTCGAGGGAGGGAAGTCCTTTCGTTAAAATTACAAGCGCACGATCTCCTGCAGGGGAGTCTGGAGTCTGAAGATTAGGGTCCTGCTGCTTCCTTACAGCAAGTCACGCACCTTCTCTTCACTGGATGATGAGGAGGCTATACTCGATGACCCTCTAGTTCCCTTCCAGCTTTAAACTCCCCTTTGTGTTACTTGCTAGACTGGTTTTACTGGCCTGGCACTCCCTCCCAGCCCCTTCCTCAGCTGCCACGCCCGCATCCCGCACCAGAGGGCGCTGCATACAGGGCCTCGTGCGGTGGGCGGAGTGGCAGAATAGAGGAGTCTCAAGAAGGCGTGGTGATTGGCCCCGGCCGGTGGGGAGGGGGGCGGGGAAGCCGAGCTGCGCGGTGACGTCACGCTGTTGGGGGCGGGACCGGGCCGCGCAGCGTGTGACGCCGCAGCCACCGCGGAGCTGGGGATTAATGGGAAAAGTTTTGGCAGGAGCCTGCGGAGCTTGCGGGACGGCGGAGGTGGTGCTAGAGGCGGCCGGAACAGGTCGGTCTGAGTCGGGGGGAGCGGGTAGGCAAGCAGCGGAGGTAAGTGGCGGGCCCGGGCTGAGGCAGCCAACGGGACTGGGACGCAAGGCTGGGAGGGGCGTGGGGTGGGGAGAGCAGCAGTGGTCTGCCGACAGAGCCGCTGCCGCTTCCCGACGCTCGGACCCAGTGCGATCTGCGGTGGTCCCTTCCTGCCCTGGCGCCCCGCCGCTCTTGTGCCCCGAGCCCTTTGGACCTGCGTTACTGTTTGAACACGAACTGCAGGCCTCCCCACCCGACTCTGTGACCCTACTTGGGCCTCGTGTATCCGTCTCCTCCCACTTAGGTGTTCCGAGAGCCGGGTCTCAGGCTTGGGGCTCTCTCCTATTCCCCATCCTTGCCTCTGACTTCATTTCTCTTCTTACTTCATTTCTTCTCTCGTGTCCCCAAATCCGTTGCCCTCTACCAAGGGTCTCCGTGGGGATCTTCTCTGACCCTCTCGTTATCGTTGTCTTCTGCCTTCGCCCTTCCTCCATCCTTGCTCTCTCAGTCTTTGCTCTCTTTCCCATTCCTGTCCCTTCCTTCCCCCGCTGCTTGGCCACTCTCAGTATTAAGATTTCCCATCATCTTTGTTGCGGTTGACTAGGCTTTTTCAGCCTCGTGCTTGCTTACCGTGTTTAGTTAAGCCTCTCCTAACCTGGTTCCCCCCACCCCCCTACCCCATCCCCTTCAGAGGGACTGCTTTTGCCCCTGTCTCTGATACCTCCCCTTCTCTCCCAGTGCCTCGTATCTGCCTTAGGGAAAAGCATTAGCTCCACAGGTACTATGCTTTTCCCCTGACTTGCAGTCCAGATATCGGTGGGGTGAGGGTGTTCAGCCCCTGATTGAAGTAAGGAGCCGAATTCTGAGGTAAATAGTAGGTTATGTCTGCGTGGGAGAATTTACTGGAGTGTTGCATCAGGGATGATGTTCAATTTGTAGACCATTCTAATCTCAGCTTTAATACTTCTTCTTTATGGGTTTGTTGACTTCCAGGAACCCTTGGGAAGAGACTGGCCGCTGAGTTGGGTGTGCGCCAGGCATAGCTGGAGGCCTCATCCAACTCTTTTCCCCTTCCAGGAAACAGGGCTCTGTGTCTTTGCAATCTGCATGTATTGAACACATTTAAACGATAAAGCCCAGCCTATCGCTGCGCTGACTCCCACCCTTTACCCTATGCCTCATCTCAAAAAGCTAAGGGAAGTCTCCAGAAGATATGCCCCAGAGAATGCCTGTGTTTCTCAACCTTTTTCCTCTGTACTGACTCCAGAATTTTTTTTTCCTATTTGAGTTTTAAATAGATTGCTGCCCGATAGCTCTAGGGCTGGCAGACATTTGTCCCTTTTATTATCGGTGGCTTGAACCAGCTGCTTATTTTCCCTCGTGCATCTCTGATCCACTGAATGTGCCTGGGCCTCTGGTGTTGATCACTCACTAAGCAGGTTCTCTTGAAGTTTCTCCCTCCATTTTCCTTGGGAGCCTAATTTCCTGTGGATACAAGAGAGAGGTTGACACCGAAGTTCTATTCCTTTTGCCCAGGCATTACATTGAATGTCAGGTCACTACCTGCTTGGGCAATTTGTGGGGCTGCATTAGTTAGACCTTGACAGGAACTTAAGTTGCCTCTAGTCACAGAGATCATTCTCTCTGGGGCTAGGGAGCCCACCACCTTTGTGGTGTGTCTGGGCACGTAGTTAACCTTCTGCATGGAGTTCTTTTCAGATGTCTTCCATCTGAACTCCTTTGTTTGGTGTTGGTCCCCTGGAGAGATCGTCAGGAAATAACATATCCTCTGTTTCTGCCCAATCTGGTCTATGAGGATTCAGAAAGCGTGACCCACTCTCATGTTTAGAAACGAAGGCCTGTTGTTTCACCTGGCTCTGGGTTTCTAGGTCTTCTCTTTTGAGGATCATGCTCTCTCTCTTTGAGCCAGAATTGGACACAAAATTGGCAGCTTTCAGGAGCTTTGGTGGAGAGCCAACTGAACCAGCTAGACCAGACTTTAAAGTTTTGGAATCCTCTGGTGCATTCTGAGAAGGGAATAGTATCATGGATGGCTGAGCCAGTCCCCTTTCTACTGAACTCATGAGCCCCTTCCTAAGCAGCACTTAGGGGGAATTTGGGCAGAATAGACCAAAAGGGGTCCCTTGTTCCAATGAAAAACATTCCTCTGGGGTTTTAATAGGTCATTCTAATGAAGTTGAGGTTGTGTATTTGGAGGTAACTTAATCTAATCTCTGGCTCTCAGGGATTTTACCTGACTCCTCTGTTTTTGCTCACGTTCACTCTCCACTGAGGTGGTAGGTGAGAAGGACTTGAGAAGAGGTTAAGCCCAGTCCTTGTGAAGTATCTTGGGCACCAGCAGCTCTGGCTGGATAGCTTCTTGCAGTTTGTCCACTCTATCATTTTCTATGTGGGTAGTCGTGACTGTTAATTACCAAGTTGCCATGCAGTGATTTTTACAGAGCCTGGGTCAGCCTGCCTCTCTTTCTCAAAGGTGTGAGCAGACAATCCTCTGACACTATTCTATAGATGCATCATTTCCTTAGTTTAACAAACTAAGTTTACTAAGTGCTGCTCATTTGTTTGGCTGCCTTTCTCCCTGCTTCTCCACCACTAATTTCTTCTTTCTTTGGTGTGTGCCTCAGCCTCCTCAGGAAGAGTTGCTGTTACTCAGCCTGTCATCTGCACCTGTGGTTCCTCAGACCCTTTCCCCAAAGACCCCGTGAGAGGAGAGCTAGTATTGAGTGCTGGCCTGGGAAGCTAGGACGCCCCTGCTTTGGGTAGACTGCAGCTGTCCCAGGGTCTGCAGATGCTGGCATGTCCTGGGACTGGGTAGCTCCTCTCTCTTTCAGGAGGAATTGGACCTGTCATTTCTAAAGGCTTCACCTATATCCTGTCACTGAGTACCCCTCTCCCAGGGTGTTTCCTGCCACCTGGAAAACTAGATTGTGGGCCCCTCTAGGACATGCCAGGAACCGTCCCACTGCCCAGCATTATCCACACTGGGAACACTCTTTCCTCCCTATGCAGCATCTCTGTGGCCTTTGTCCTGCCAGGCTCTTGCTTGTGTTATGTCAGAAGTTCTGTGCATGATGCCCTTGTCTGTGCCGTGTTGTCCCAGATAGCCCAGTAGCTGCTTCTCGTAGATGGTTTGATGTCCCTGGGCATTTTTCTGTGCCTCTGGATCTAGGGGGAGGAGATCCTTGCAGCAGCTGAGTTCCATAGTGTCAGAGGGCAGCTGGGCACTTGCTTGAGTCTGGCAGGAAGGAAATGTCGCCTCACATCAGATTTCGGACATGTAGGTCTTCTTGCTTGGTGGGTAGTTCCCGTCTTCATAGCTCAGAGACAGGTGACTGGGTTGTGACTCCAGTCCTGTCTCCACAGGTTTTGGTCAAGGAATCAAGCATGATTCAGGGAATCTCCATCTATGAATCCATTGGGAGGGGTGGGCTCTAGTTCCTTCTTCACCTTGCCAGCTCCTTCTGCCCCACCCTGGTACAGTCAGCAAAGCCAGTGTCTTCTTACTTGGAAATGAGCAGACTATTTCCAGAATTGGGAAATATTTGCTGACTCAGGCCCAGAATAACAGCATCTCAGGGTGTGTGTGAGGGACAGAAGAGAAGCCCCCTTGCCTTAGGAGGACTCTTGGAGCCCGAGTGTTTAATTATAACATATTAGAGCTGCTTTTCTGACCCCTGATACCTCTGAGCTAAAGATGTTGGGTTTCTTTCTACCTTGCAGTGTTGCGTGGTGTTTTGGGCATGTACGCGGTACTCACACAGTGGCTTCTGCTCACCAACAGATGAGGACAGATGCAACAAAGAGGTAATCCCATTTTCCTTACCCAGGGCCCTGTAACAACTGACACCCACATCCCAGATTTCAGATCCTGGCCGCGAAGATAAAATAATTTCACTAGGGCTGAGTCCCTGATCCCAGGTGTCTGTCCTAGTATCTGCTACTCATCACTTGCACATAGCAGGCGCTTACTAAATAATTATTGAATGTTTATTACTTACATCGTTGTTGTGGGAGCATTGAGATTTTCACCTTTATACCTGTGAAAACATGAACTCCATAAGGATAGGGACTTATTTTGTTTCCTGTTGTGCCTAGGACAGTGCCTGGCACAGAAGATGCTAAATAAATTTTTCTTGAATGAATAAATGTACACACTCTTCCACATGGTGTCAGGCCACAAAGGTGGTGTTTATCATTCTTTTTCCATTTCTGCAACAAACATTTTTGAGTGTCTACTATGTGCCAGGCACAGTACTGGCACTTGGGAAATGATGATAGTAAAAAAAACCCAAAAACCAAAAAACCAAAAAAACAGAATCAGTCCCTGTCTCATGGGTCAGTAGTTTACTGGCATATATGAGAGCTGGGCATAATACACAGAGTTGTTTCTTCCATCTCTGCTGGGGTAGTGGGTCCTTACCAGAGTCTGAAAAATGCTCTGGGCTTCCCATTACTGTTTCCCTGTTCTCAGGATGCCTGGCAGGTTTTATAAAGTCTCAGAAGGGGAGCTCCAGGGAATTTGATATTCATTGTCCCAAATAGGGAGGCTGAGCTCTGCTAGGGTCCCTGCGGGGAACGGGGAAACATGGGGCTCCTGTCTGATTTGTTTTAATCTCTGAGTTTTCAGTGGTTCCAAGTAGCTGTTTATGGGCTTCACTTCCCTTTCTGTGCCTTTAACACCCTGTGGGGTTTCCTGTTGCCGAACAGGGTGCTGAGCCCATGTGTCTATCTGTCTGTGGGGGTCAGGTTGTTTGTGGATCTTGCAGGAAGGCCTCAGGCAGGGGCCCCTCCTGTTCTCAAACCCATACCAAGTCCTTTCCTCTGAAGGAAATGTGAAGGAGGAAGAAGGGGGGTTTGGGAGGCTTCTGAGAGTCCCTGAGAGGGGATGAAGGAGAAGTTTCCCTGAGCAAGCAGAGACACTGAGTTGAGTTGATGTGCTTTGTCATTTGATTCGGCAGCAGCTAGCCATTGTGGCAACGGTGTGCGTGTTCAGGCGCCAGTCGTTTAGTTCATCCCTGAGCTGGACTCCCAGTTCCATCTAGAAGTGTTCTTTTTCAGTTTCTCCTGACAAAGTGAGGGTATAGCTTTATCAGATTTTCCAGTGTTGATATCAATATAAAACAAAACTGGGGTTGCCGTCTTAGTCTTTCCTATCAGGCACTTTTGTGGGCCAGGTGCTGTGACAGATGTTTTGCACATGGTCTCACACCCCAAGTGTGTGGAATCCAGTTGGAGAAAGAAGACATATGCACAAAAAGGTTTTTAAGACATTAGAGAGTGGGTGGGTACTGAGAACATGCTGCCGTCCAAGGATTCTCACTCAGAAGAGCAAGTCATCGCTGAGGATTGGCTTTGTCCCTGAAGAAGTGGGTTTCAGATTGGGCTTTAAAGAAAAGTTGTTTATTCTGAAGTCAACTTTAGACTATTGTTAAACAGTGATTCTCAAACTTTGGGCCTTGGCACCCTTTTATACTCTTAAAAATTATTAAGGGCCCCATGAACTTTTATTTACGAAATTAGAAATTAAAATGAGGAATTTTTAAGAATTACTAAGTTATTCATTTACTGTAATGCTTAAAACCCACATTTATAACATAAAATTTTTAATGAAAAATAGCTATTTTTCAAAACAAAAAAGTTGTGAGGAGTGACGCTGTTTCACATTTTTGCTAATCCATTTTAATGCCTGGTCAGATAGAAAGCAGCTGGAATCTCATAACTTGCCTTCATGTTCAACCTCTTAAAATATGTCTTATTTGAAGGAGATGAAGAAAATCTGGTTTCACATGGAAATGTAGTTGAGAATGAGAGGGTTATTTTAATATGTTTGCAAGGTAATTGGGAATATTCTCCTTTGATACGATACCAAAACTTGACGTGGTAGAATAATCTTAAAGGTTAGTTGGAATGTGGAGTCTAAAACCTTATCAACAAACTTTTCACCCTGGCTATTGTGCCCCACTGGATTGAGTGCTGGCCTGTGAACCAAAGGGTTGCTGGTTTGATTCCCAGTCAGGGTACATGCCTGGGTTGTGGGCTAAGTCCCCAGTAGGGGGCGCGTGAGAGGCAACCACACATTGATGTTCCTCTCCCTCTCTTTAAAAAGAGGAAAGAGAAGAAAAAAATAAAAAAAAAGTTACCAACAAACTTTTCATGGTTTGTGACATTAAAATCCATTTTGCACTTTGAATTGGTCATTGGTTCACTGAGTTATAGAGATCTTGTAAATGTTGACATCTCATTTTACAACATCAGTAAATAATATTAATAGCACCACTGATCTCATCAAAAAGGTCTTCAAGTATTAGGAAGCTGTCGAATTCACAGTGGTGGATACAGGTTTTCCATAATTTTGAATTTCTCATGAAAGTTTGATTTTTTTTTTTTAATCATTGGTAATATACTGTCAGACTTTTTTTTTCTTGAAGTAAACGTGTCACTCCCTTCATTTTCAAGAAAACTCTGTCAAATACCCAAATCTAAATAATCATAATTCGTTCATCTGTTTTTCAAGTAAAAATTGTGTTTCAGGAGAAAGGTGGCTAGTTTAGCTTGCAACTCAAACAATTGCACAAGTACTTTTTTGTATAATTTCTATTTTGTTACACAGAATATTTAAGAGACGTGCACTCAAGGGTCAAGATTTAATAAGTTAGTTTTTATTGGTTCATCTAGGACACTCCTAAGTGAAGGTAACATTTTATTATCTTTAATGGTTCTGTGGGTTGACTGGGCTCAGCTGGGTGGTCCTCATTTGGGGGCTGTAACTTGCTGTAGCCAAATGGAAGCTGGGGCAGGAGTCATCTGAAGGCTCAGCTCTGCGGGCTGTCCACACTAGCTCACTCATGCGGCTGGCACTTGGTGTGGCTGTTCACTCGCGTATCTGCATGTGGCCTCTCCATGTACCTTGGGCTTCTCACAGCATGACAGCTGGATTCTGAGTAGAGACATCCTAAGAGTGAATGTACTGAGAGATCCAGGCATAAATGGTGAGGTTTCTTACGACTTAGCTTTAGAAGTCACACTGGTCACTTCCTCTCTATTTTCTTGATCATAAGACCAGTTCAGATTCAAGGAGGGGACTACACAAGGGTGTAAATGCCAAGAGGCGTGATTTACTGTGAGGGAGCGAGGCCTCCTGGGGACCAGCACCCCTTATGTGAGGTAACTTGGCTTGTATCTGAATGCTTCTAGGAGAAAAGTGCATCTTCTTGTGATTCCCAATCATGGAAACCATTGTTGGCAAATTTCTAGGTTGACAGAAGCTGTTGAATGCCAGTTTAAGGAATTTGCACTGTATGTTCTTTGGGCAGTGGGTAGCTGTTGGTGGTTTTGAAGTAAGGAGTGACTGTGTTAATATTGCAAAAAAGATGGAATAAAGAGAGAAAAAGGGGAGTTAGGTTGGGTAGGAGACTGAGTACTACAGTAATTTAAATGTTTCGAAATTCTCCCTCATATTAACTTTGAATTTCTTGCCCTGGCTGGTGTGGTTCAGTGGACTGAGCACCGGCCTGTAAACCAAAGGGTCGCTGGTTTGATTTCCAGTGAGGCCTGTGCCTGGGTTGTGGGCCAGGTCCCCAGTTGGGGACATGGGGACATGCAAGTGGCTGCCGATTGATGTTTCTCTCCCTCTCTTTCTTCCTCCCCTCCCCAAAAATAAATAAATAAATAAATAAATAAATAAATAAAATATTTAAATTTGAGCTTTTCCTGGTTGCTGTTAAAATTGCTACTGATTTTGCTCTATCTGCCCTACAGATGAAGTGCCCAGAGCCTGGGTGAAGTAGCACCCCCACCACTGTTTCTTAGGGATGCTGATAGATGGGAGAGATTTATGGGTTCACAAAAGTTGAGGCAACTAAATTTAGGTTTTATTGTCAAGGCACATTAAAAAGTTAATCATAATTCAGTTTGAAAAAAGCAGAGAATATACAATTTTATGTAATGCCACTAACCGTGTTTCAAATACATTTCAGTTTCAGTATCAGACCAGTAAGAAGTGAAAAGAAGAAAGAGGGGACAAGTTAGAGAGTGGTGGGGAGAGAGACAAGTGGGGAAAAGAAGGAGATCGAGAGGGGAAAACAGCAAAAAGAACTTGAGGGAGGATGGGATTGGAGGAACTGCTAACCCTAGTACGCATGGGCTAGGGTTAGCAGAGTTGGCTCTTTCTGCGGTTCCCTGTGGCCCTGGCTTCTGGGTTTTAGCACCTCCTGTCCTTTCGCGGTCTCTGTAGCTCTTTCTGTCTGTGAAGAGACCATGGGGAGTGCTGGAGTGGATTCGGTGTCAGTCAGAGTTAAAGCTTAGTAAGTATGATTAAAATGAACCTCAGTAAGTGCTGGTTCATCCCCTTCCTGAGCTCAGTTCAGAGGTGGCGGACTCAGGGAGAAATGCCTTTCTGCACCACTTCCTCGCTGATGTACAGGCTGTGGCACCAGGAGCCCAGCCTCAAAACGGGGAGTCTTCACCTTCTGTGTTGGCAGTAAGGCAGTGCATTGTGGCACCCCCTCCTTTTTATTCTGAGCCCAGTGTTCAAAGCCTAACCTCTTTTTCTTTTTTTCCATTTTTTAAATTGTTGTTCAAGTACAGATGTCTCTGCCCTACCAACCCCCACCTCCGACCCTCAGTCATTCCATCCTTTGGCTTTGTCCATGGGTCCTTTATATATGTTCATTGACAGTCCTTCCCCTTCTTTTCCCCCAATTATCTCTCTCCCTCCTCCCCTCTGATTACTGTCAGTGTGTACTTTATTTCAATGTTGCTGGTTATATTTTTCTTGCTTGTTTGTTTTGTTGATTAGGTTCCAC